TGAGGAAGATTAGAGTCATTAATTAAATATTTGGCAGTAGCCCAAATTTCAGTTAAACAAATTATATTAAAAGTGTTTTTTGTTTCTTTAAGTAAGTTTTGAAGTTTTTTTAAATTGCAATTAATGCTTCGAATATTAACGTGTAGAATTCTAATTTGATATAAGTTTTTATTGCTAATATTGTTAAATAATAAACCCTTCTACTTCCCACAGATAGTAATAGGGTAAAAATTTCTCAAAAAACAAGGGGTTGCACCCTGCATCACCAAGTTCGCTGAAATTTGGCACAAATGTTTATTTCTTTTACCTTCTTTTCACATTCAGCCCAGCTTTCATTGTCATTTTCAAGGACACTATCGATTCTTAAATTATTACGCCTTGACCTATCCTCAATCTCTCTGAGTTTGTTATTTAAATTTATAAGTTCATTGTTGTTATTTTGTATTTTGATGTTTGCCAAATTTTCTTTTGCAAGACGGTTCAATGGCGGTTTTTATTTTTGACAATCAATGGCGGTTTTTATTTTTTTTATTAAAGAGATCTTCATGAAAATTTAAACTTTCTTTAATTTCTTCTACTTCTTTTGCAATTGATGCTATTTTGGTTAATTTTTTATCATTTAATATTTTTGTGTTTTGTGTCACTATGTTGATGAAAGTATTTTCTTGTTACTTTAGCATTTCTTCTGTCTCGATCTTAAACTTCATAAACATTTCTGTTATTAATTTTTTAACTTCAACAAGTGTGATAGACATGTTCAATAAGTATAAATTAATATAATATAAATAACTTTTAATAATATTAACGATTTTCTATTTTATTTTCTTTAAGCAGCGAAAAAGCGTGCGTTCACTTCAGCGTTGTGTTTTAAAATTATGATAAATGGAATTAAAATATCTGTATGTTATGCGTTTTTGTTGATGCAATCATGTTTTGTATTAAATAAAAAAAAATGCGTCGAACGCTGGGCCGTCCCGAAAGGGATGGGGTGTCCCCTCCCTTCCCCCCCCCCCCCTCATCCCCCAGAGCTGTCATATAAGTATTTGAGTTGGCTCATTGAGCAAATTTTGCATCATAGTTGGCAAAAGGCAAATATTGAGAACCTTTTTTTTTTGGTGTTTCTAGTTACCAAAAAAATACATACCGCCCGTCCCCAATAGAAGACCTTTTCCGGATGGCCCTGTTGAACGGAGTTACAAGTAATAACGAAGGATGAAAAGTAGGATAGATTAGGATAATATGAGCACCTTGGTAGTATGAGCATACTTTTTTGAATTGAATTTATAAAGTCAATTCAAAAAATACAAAGCAACTTAACTAAACTGCTTACCTTATAGCATATAATTATTACGTAACTATGTGGTGATAACTAGCGTAATATAATTAGCGTAAATTTATATGCAGTAATTATCGGCTATTATTTAATTAAAACGCTATTTAATTTTTTATGTTATTAAAATATTATCATCACGATTAAATAAATCTGTAGCGCGAATTTTGGATTAAGCACAAGCATTACCGCAATTCGATAAATTTTAGCAATGCGGTAAATTGCAATAATTAGATAAGAAATCGGGGGTGCTCAGTTACAATTGCGATATTTAGTCAGGTAATCACGATGCTGTCATTTTTATGGAGCGAATCGTTAGGCGGTTTATTTAGTGTTAACTTTTACGGAAAAGTTGAGTGCGATTTAATGATTTTCTTCTAACACCAGTGCTTATTTTGGATGCAAAAATAACGAAATTTAATTTTTCATAAAGAAACTCAAGCAAAAAATCCGTTCGATATTTATTTGAAAAACAATGCATAGAAAAATTTAGTTTCGACTTCATTTAAAGATGCTATTTTTGTGTAATATGAGCATGCTTAACTCAACTCAGTGTTATTTATTTAAGTTACCAAGTTTTATCTAGTCTAAGTCCTAACCCAGACAGCAAGCTTACATTGGCCCAACGTAAGTTTTAACATTGGCAAGTTTATTCCGTTGGGCCAACATTTAGCCAATGTTTTTTTTCGACGTATTATTTTCAATTCTGCAAATCGGTTTTTTGCAAATATCGTACTATATATATAGTTCGATATTTGCAAATATCGTACTATATATATAGTACGATATTTGCAAAAAACCGATTTGCAGAATTGAAAATAATACGTCGAAAAAAAACAATATTACGCCGAAGAAAAAACATTGTCCCAATATATTTCTGCTATAAAAATCTGTTCTTACATTTAAGCCGTAGCCAATATTCGGCCAATGTAGTTGCGGATTAGTAAATATTTTTTAAAATATTTTTAAAAATGGTATCGTTTGACAGAATAAAAAAAGGTTTTGATATTATCTTTCCACTTTTTTAACTTATATATATAAAAAAAAAGAAGCTATATTTATGAATCTTCTAAGAATATTAAAAGTTTTGTTATATGAAATAAATTTCAAGAGATTCTCGTGACTTAATGTTTTTTTTTTTTTTAATAATGAAATGTTTGTTAACAGTTAAATAATATACTTGAAACATTTTTTACTACAATGTAAATTATTAATGTAATAATAAAGGTAATAATTAAATTATTTTTGTGTAAGATCTTAAAGTTATTTTTTATACTTATTGCTGTATTAGCATTTCAAATGTTTGATTTTTTTAATAATCTTTATTAAATAAATGTAACATTTCAAATGTTCGATTTATTTAATAAAGAAGACATTTTAAATTCTTCTTTATTAAATATATCAAAAATTTGAAATTTCATACAGTGTAAGTATCGAAAAAAATTTTTTTTTCATAATTTATTTATAATCGTTTAGATTATATAGCTATTATAAGATATATTATTAAAGGTATCAGTAATATATATGTGGCATTGAAGTTGTTAGAAGCTGATATTTTACATTTTAAGTATGTCTTTTTTGTTTGATTGTGAAACCCCATCTACTAAAATATTAAAACAGTGTACAAAAAGTGATGTTATTAGAATTTATATTCTACTTATGTACAGCTTTCTAATATTGCCAGACATTTTGTTTTAAGACCAATGACTAGTCTAAAATAATTTATTGAATTATGAGATTAAATCAATAAATAATCATTAAAATCAATTAAAATAAAAAGACTCAATTTAAATTATTATTTTTATTTGTCTGATTTAAATCATGATTTAAATTGAAACAACCCTTTATATATTCCATCTTTCTGAGGCAGAGGGACATTATTCTTGGTTTTATAATTTTTAATTTAATATCTCTGGATATTTTTCATAATTAGTTTGCGTAATGCAGTTTACAACTTTAAGCTTATACATTAACTTTCGTTATAACTTAGTTATTAATAATTTGATTTATAGATTTTTATAGCAATACAAGATTGAATTTAGCAGAAGGCTAAACTTCTGCTCTGGAGACAAAAAAGAAAGATAGGGAAAATAACCAGCCAAAATAAAGATTAAAGAGACAAAAAATTGTGTATATCTTGGTGTAGATGATTTATCCTCAATTTCTTATAATAAAACTAAAAATATTATTAAACTTTAGGATTTACCTGTAACTACAAACTTTTTACAGAAGTTCAATGTTTGCTCTGAGAAGTTAAATGAACAAAATTTATTAAATGGTAAGTTTTTATATAAAATTCTTTATGTCTGATGATTGAAAATCTTTATTCATAGGTTTAACTTTTACAATTTTAAAGACTTTTTCATATATTACAGTCAAAATGTCAGAGTGTTGATTAACATTTTATTGTGTAATAATCAACATATCAAAGTTAACACCACAGGCTTGATCAGAAAGCAGGAGCGATCGCTCTCAAATACTGACCGCCGAAATTATATTTAGTTACGAAAAACTGGCCAGGTTTTTTAGTTGTTTTAAGTTTATGAACATAACAAAAAATTTTTGTTGGATTTCAAAGTTAGTGCCACTAACTTTAAAATCTATTTCAAATCAACTGCCGAAAAAAATAACAGAGTATTCATATCAGTTTAAAGTTTTAACAGTTGCTGGTGGTTTATTATTATTTATTATATAAACGTTTATTTAAATTTATCTAATAGACAAAGGTAATACGATATTTTTATAGATGATATTATTTTTTAAATTGTATTATTAAAATTCAGAACTAAAATATGTAAAAAAAAAATTATATTCAAACATTGGACAAGGTCTGTACTGTACCTGGAAAATCTGGAAAATATGTTAATATTGGCCAAAGTGGTGGAAAACCTAAAAAAGTCAAGGAATTATTTTTTTTTTTTAGATAGTCATGGAAAAGTCAGTAATTCTAGTTAAGAAGTTACTCATTTTGTAATTGAACGCTGTATTTTGAAAACGTGAAGAGTCACAATTTTTAAAATTGAGGTTATTTGAAAAGAATATTTTTTTTAGTAAAAGATAAAATTATAAGATAAAAAAAAGATTTTTTAGATAAAATAAAGATTTTTTTTTGATAAAAAAAATAATTTTTAGTTAAAATAAAAACAAAATTTTTTTTAGGAAAAATGTTTTTTACTCTCCTGTAAAATTTTAATTTTGTGACTTGTCACATTTTCAAAATACAGCGCTCAATTAAGCTATTATGTTTTTTTTTTGGTGCTATTAATTTATTTTTTCTGAAACGTGTTTTTCTTAGTATTCATTCTTAATTATCCTTAATAATAAGAACCATACTAACATGTATAATAAGATCTATACTAATAGCTAACTTAAGTAATAGCTAAGTTTTATAAGTTTTGTCATTCAAAGCATGTATATTCTTAGCATTTCCATTACAGTAGATAGTAATTTTAAACATTTTGTAAAAACCATTGTTAAAAATCGTCAGGGAAATTCATCTGATTTTTCAAAAAAGTCATTTAATTTTATATAAATAGTTGGCTACGAACCCTGTTAGAGAAACATTGTTTTAATATCAGGATTTATCTTTTTCCGGATATTTCCGGAATTCCGGATATTTTTTAAATTTTTTATATTTTCCGGATAATTAAATAATTTTCGAAAATACAATTTATAAAATTTTTTCTGTTTATTACTGTCATCAAATGAAACAGTAACAAGTATATATAAACAGTAAATTTGTTGTCCATAAATTACGGAACGCTGTATTTAGTTAACAAACAAAGCCAAAAAGATTAAAAGATTTCCCTCGCAGAGTACACCAAAAATTAATAAGCATTTTAATTAAAGTTTAAGACAAATCCCAGCGCAAAAGAGCGAATGATCTCCTACTTTTAAAATAAAATTAGCGATGCGTGTCAAACTCTTCTCTTTTTTAAAAATATTTTAAATTTACATTTTTTAAATACCGTAAGATTGATTGGGTGGCTTTGGCCCTACGAGATGACTTTAGCCCAAGCGAAATTTTTGTTTAAAAATGGTTTAAAATCGATACCTTAAGGTATGCCGGATGATGTTTATTAGCAAATTGTAGAAAATTTATTATTTATTTAGTCTAACTTAGTTTACTTAACTCGAGTCTTTGTGATATTATTGTAAATTGCACTTTAGAAGAAGCACCTAAAATCCGAATTTTTTTAGGTGTGTAAACTTTTACATCAATAGCAGTACCTGTAGAAGGTTTTTTATTGGAATATACACTGAATTAATTTTAAACCATTAGTTTTTGATTCAATCTTGTTTAGAAAGCTTAACAGTTTATTACTTTTTTGTAATTGAGGTTAAAAAAAAAAGGCTATCTTTGGCCCACTACATAGTGTGATTTTGGCCCGGGTAAAGTCACCCCATGTATTAGAGTAAACCTTTTTTAGTGATCATTTATAGATATTATGGTAGTTACTATATTGGACTGAAAAATTTTGTAGTAGTAATGCAATAAAAAATCAGTATAACAGTTTGCATTAGTATATCAGTATAAAATTATAGTAAAATTTGTTTAGTTCTTAGTTTAAATATGCCACAAAATTACAAGCCAAATCGTGGAAAAAGAAAATATGTTACTTATACTTTAGAACAGTTAGACAATGCATTAAAAGATTTAAAGAATGGCTTAATTACTCAAAGACAAGCAGCTTTGAAATGCGATATACCAAGATCAACAATAAAAAATAAAATAAAACAGACATCCTAAAAAGTATGGTGGTCAGCAAATATTTACATCAAAAGAAGAAGACATGTTTAAGGCATATGCAATAAAATCATCTGAGTTTGGTTTTCCTGTTGATAAATATGATTTAAGATGCATAGTAAAAGGGTACTTAGAGAAAAAAGGCGTCATTATACCTCAGTTCAAAAATAGTTTTCCAGGTAGTGATTGGATTCGATCTTTTTAAAAAAGAAATCTAGAACTCAGAGTAAGATTTGCAAGCAACATAAAGCGAAAGAGAGCAGAAATAGGAACGACTGTGATTGATAACTACTTTATAAATCTATCAAATGAAATAAATAATATATCACCTGATAATATATGGAAACTATGATGAAACCAATCTCAGTGATGATCCAGGTTAAAAAAAATATTAACAAAGCGTGGATGTAAGTATCCTGAACGCATCATTAATTCTACAAAGATCTCATTCTCTGTAATGTTTTGCGGTAATGCTAATGGTGTATTGCTACCATCTTATGTTGTTTACAAAGCTGAGTCGTTATGGAATACATGGATAGAAAATGGGCCACCAAAAGCAAGTTATAACAGATTAAAAAGTGGTTGGTTTGACTCAACATGTTTTGAGGACTGGTTTTTCTCTTTACTTCTTCCAAGACTTAAGAAGGCTCAAGGAAGAAGTGTCATTATAGGTGATAACGTATCTTCACATTTGAGCATTGCAATACTGGATGCATGTCAAAGCAATAACATAGGATTTGCGGCATTACCAGCAAACTCTACACATCTCACGCAGCCTCTAGATGTTACCTATTTTAGACCTATGAAGATTAACTGGCGCAAAATATTATGTGAATGGAAGGAGAAAGGAAAAGGAAGGAGAACTGCTTCTCTTCCCAAAGATGAATTTCCTAGACTTTTACACCGTTTAATTACCAACTTAAATGAACATGGGAATGATAACCTTAGAGCTGGTTTTTGCAAAACTGGAATTTTTCCATTAGACAAGTCTCAAGTGCTTTCACGACTACCATGTTGTAATGCAGGTTTAGACTCAACTACTGATTTAGTAAGCCAATCATTTTTAGATCACTTATGTAAGTCACTGGATGATCCCTCAGATGGTTCTAAAAAACCAAAGCGACGTAAAGTATGTGCTGTCCCATGTAAAAGCTTATGTTCAACAGATATATCATTGTGTGTAATAAATGAAAATAATAGATTAAATTCAAATAATGTAGATACACATATCAGTATTATAAATACAACTGAGACCAACAACATTGATTTTGCTGGCCCAAGTACAAATACTGGAACTACTGAGAGTTCTAATCTAATTTTTGCAGATGTAAGTTTAGTTGTAAAAAGTCATACAGAATCTTTAGATCATTCAGCATTTGGCAAAAAGAACTTTCAAAATATTGATAAAACAAAAAATGTTTGTAAAAAGGAGAAATTATTAAATCTTGTAGAGAATTGTTATGTAACTGTTAAATGCAATGGAGAGTTAAATCCTGGACAGGTTTGTTTATTTATTTTGAGTTATTTATATTTAGCTAATTAATTAGTAAACTTTATAACTAATTAATTTAATAACTAATATTATTTAATAAAACTACTGAAAAATTTTAAAAAAACTTTCGAAATTTTTTTTTCTGCAGTTGAAAAAATTAAGAAAAAATGGAGCAGAAATTACTATTATGAAAAAAAATGGACTTAACTGGAAATGGTCACTACCAGCAGAGCAATTTTTTTTCCCCAGTCTGAAATAGTCAATTTTATTGAGGAACCAAAGAAAATTTCGAAAAGAGGGATTTATTCAGTTCCAGAACTTTTTCACTAAATTTTTTAAAACATTGTTTTGTCATTTTTGTTTACTTTATACCTAAACTGCTTAGTTTACTTGGTACCTATACTTGTTTAGTTTGTACCTATATTTTATTTACTGTACACAAGAACTTTGTTACTAAATCTTTTTTTGTTACTTTATTTTTGTAAATTAATTTTCTTTGCTTAAATATTGCTGTTTTTATTGTTGTTTTGCTTCCTTTAGTTCCTTTTTACAGGGTTGGGCCAAAGTCACCCTAACACATCGGGCGACTTTGGCCCACCATTCAAACCACCCAACAGATACTTCAGGTAAATAATTTTCAAATGGGAGACAGATAGTTCTAACTGTCCTTTCTATGTACTTCTAAAAGTACTTTGTGTTTGAGGAAATAACTTTTGCGGGTTTCATGCAATAGACATTAAGATACAAAATGGGCCAAAGCCACCCAATCTTACGGTAGCTCTTTTAGCTATTAGCAAAGAGATTTCTTTTTTTATTGTTAAAAACTTTTTTTTTAAGTAAATCACTTCGCTTATGGACTGAAACTTTTTTCAGTTTGTTTGTCGGTGGTTCAAAATTTACTGCATCATTATTTTGTTTTCTGTCAAGTCGTACCATTGCAAGTCTCTTTTCGCACACACTTCTTGAAAGTATCATTTTTTCGCATAATTTCTTATTAATTGGAGACTTTAACAAGTTTTGACGATGGTATTTAAAAAGTTATGACGATGGTAGAATAAACGGTACTCGTAAATAAAAATTCTGTTACAAAAGCTATGAGAGAAATCAGTTTTTAATTTTCGTCAAATATGAGAAATATCGTTAAATTTAAACTCTTTTGAGATTAGTAAAATCTATTTCTAGAGAGCAGTTAAATAGTTCGATCTAAGAATAAGAAATTTGGTATGACCTTCAACTAGTAGAAACTTCTATTAATCTTACAGTTACTATAATACCGTGGTGTAACATTATGGTCGTGCGGTACAACTTGTTTTCGTAAAGGGTGAAAAAAACTTATAAAAAAATCTTATTATTACTGACTAAGATTAATTACTTTGTTAATAATAAGTTATTTCATACAAATAAGTGTTATATAATAAAACTATATTCTAAACTATAAGGATTTTATTCTATGTAATTATTTTAATCAAATTGCTTTTAAATGCCATTACTAGGTTTTTAAAAACATCGCATTTTGAGGCACGTTTTCTTTTCAATTCAAAAACCATTAGTTTTTTATTCTATCTTGTTTTGAAAGCTTAACAGTTTATTACTTTTTTGTAATTGAGGTTAAAAAAAAATAAGTTGTCTTTGGCCCACTACATAGGGTGACATTGGCCCGGGCTAAAGTCACCCCATGTATTAGAGTAAACCTTTTTTAGTGATCATTTATAGATATTATGGTAGTTACTATGTTGGACTGAAAAATGTACTTTGAATAAAGGTCAAGTGAATCAAATTGCTTTTAAATGCCATTACTAGGTTTATTAAAAACATCGCATTTTGAGGCATGTTTTCTTTTCAATTTTAAAAGCTCCTGTTAAAATTAATTATATTTTCTGAAAAAAAATCATTTTTTTTAAAAGATTTAAAAATATGTTTTTTTTTTAATTTAAACGATTTAAAAAAAATCATTTTGTTAAATCTTTTAAACTTTGAATCACATGAATGATTACGTGAATCATTAATAATGCCTCACCTTTTGTTTATCATAGTTAAAATAAACTTAAAATTTAAACTATATCTAACGAACGTTTAAACTTTTTTAGTTAACGAACATGGAGATTTTTTTATAAAAGAAGACATTGTACTGATTTAAGTTTAAAACATTTTAAACACTAAGTGGAAGAACTAATTGTAGAAAACTAACTGATTACAGAAAAATAATTCAATATCTTTTTACTTTTATTTATTTATTTTCCTTTTTAACATATTCATTACTAAAGATTTCCAATTTTTTGTATTTTAGAAGTCTGGTGTTTATTATTATTATTAGTTCCTTTCTTTTTACTGCGATTGAAGTATGCTCCGAAAATAGTTAAAATAAAATTCATTTATATTTTCCAAAAGTTTGTGTTTTACTGGTAATAAAATATTTACTGAAAGAAGTTGGCAAGCAAAAGTCTCGGATATATTTCGGTTTATTTTGCAAAATTACTACAAAAAAACCAAAACGCTCAAAAACACCCATGGGATTTCAGTTATGGTGGCGCCTCTGATCTCTAACAACGCGTTAAACGTTTATCTGTTTGTATATCTTTGGTGAATTGAAGCAATATTTCATTATCCATTATGTATTTAAATGTATAAGTGCATGTCTAAGAAAGTTTCCGCATTGTTTAACAGCTTTTAAATATAGTTTTCTACTTCTTCTTTGACTTTATCTTCTTCTTATTATTATTGTTAAAATTTTATCATTATTATTATTCTTTTTTTAATGAAAAAACTATGTAGTTTTTTATTCATATATAGCAGTGGTTCCCAACCGGTGGTCCATGGACCCCAGAGGGTCCATAAGAACTTTTTATGCGGACCACAAGGTAAACGTAAATTATAAATATTAGTTGTGCTCTATCAAAAACTCAGCAAATAATATCTGAAAGTCAAACTTTCAGATATTATTTGCTGGTAAGCAGTGCCAGAATTCACATTGACCTGTTTTTGTATCATATATTAACTAAGATTAAGTATTTTTGTGTCACTGGTGGCCTAGTCTATTCAAAAATACCTTAAATAAAATATTATCTTGTTGAATAAAAATTTTATTTTTAAAATGTTCAACTTTGTAATAATTTTCGAAAGCAAAGGGGTCCATGAAGATTTTAAGATATATAATTTGGGGAACGGTTTAGAAAAGGTTGGGAACCACTGATATATAGGGTGAATAAGGATACTCTTAAACTGGCGTAATATTATAGTAATATAAAAGAATGGACGAAAGCACGCCCCCCTCCCTCCTTGTTAACATCTAAATTCCGATTGTAAATTCCGGATTTTTTCCGGATATTACAAAAAAATTTTCCGAATTTTTCCGGATATTTAAGGAAAAAAAGTTTCCGGATTTTTATAAAATGGCCAGGATAATCTATGTAATATGAGTTTTTTTGTTTTACATTGCAATGTGTATCTCAAACATTAATAAGAATTGTTTTGTGTCAGTCCCAGAAATTGAATGCACACCTGCAAATTTCATAATTCATAAAAATATTATGAATCCATTAGCAAGTATATATTTTGATCATTAAAAGTTTGGCCCTCTGTCTTTAATTTTATCTGTTTTATTAGTGATTGTTGTATTTACTTTTATAAATTCTAAATATAATATATAATTAGTTGTATAGTTTCTTAATAATATAATTAACTTTATTGTTTCAAGATAAAGTTGTATCCTTGAAAGATATGCTGGTATTATTGGCACAATGGGCAAGCAATGAAGTGCAACTTGGTGAACTACTAAATACATCAAATTCAGTTATAAAAATTTGAGTATCAAAGGTATGCTAATTGTTGTATTGCCTGAAAGAGTGTCATTGCCATTAAAAGCAGTGAAGAATTCAAGTACTCTGGAAGAAAAAAGACAAGAAAACACTTCAGTAAATGGTAAATATTTTTTTATGATCTGTTTATGCATTTAGTATGATATGTAGTACAATTTATATACTTTAAATAAAATACTTTTTGAAGATTTTTTGTAAATGACATTTTATATTAATTTAAGTCTAAACTAAAGTTACTTTAATTACTGCCAGGCTGTGTATTTTTGCAAGTTAATTATTTGGCACAAATTGGAGTTAAAGGCGAAGGAGATTGTGTGTGTTATTTACTAAGAATAGTTTATTAAAATGGCCTAGCTGTAAAATTAAATTATGCAGGGAGAGGATAAAAAATTGGAATAGGAAAAATGTTGATTGCATATGCTGCTTTTGGTAAGTGGTTTAGAAAAGTTTATTTTTTCAGTTTCAATTTTGTATTACAGAATTACTTTCAATTTGTTATGTTTCTTTGGTGCATAATTAAACAAACAACTATTTTTTTTTGCAGAAACTTTGAAGTCAATTAAGCATGGCTTATGCAGACATGTGATAGAGATAGCGGAAGAAAAATAATAATCGTGGACACCAAATATCATAAGCTAAACACGATTCAATAACAAGTAGCTCAGTCAATATCGAAACTACTCTATAAATTTTATAGTGAATTTTTTTATTTAAAACTCAATATGTCAGTTTTTGGTATAAGTTTCGTGTTTGCAATATGTATATTTAACCGAGAAATTATGTTTAATAAATAAATATTTATACTTGTATAATACATTCTTTTTTTTCTCTATAATTTTTCAATGAAGCGATGCAAATCATCTTATTTGTAACAACGATCTAATGTTGCATAAAACGTTAGGCCAATATAAAAATAATAATCGTATAACATACGATATTGGGCCAATTTTGTATACATCGTTGGGCCAATGTTGTATAAAACGTTGAGCCAATGTTGTATACAACATTGGCCTAACGTTATATACAACGTTGTGCCAATGTTGGGTAAACGTTGTATACAACATTGGGCCAATGTTGTACACAACATTGGGCCAATACCTAACCAATGATCAAACCTGCATTGGGCCAACATCGACTTTCAACGTTGGGCCAATGCATCACCATGCATTGGCCCAACATTGATCCAATGTAAGCTTGCTGTCTGGGAAAATTGAAGTGGTTTAATACAAACAAAACATAGTAAAAATATTTGTCATTTTAAAAATACTTAATAATTAATTAAGGTATCTTAAATTTATAATTTTATTTTTAAAGGTTTGAGTTAATAAAAGTGAAAAAATAACGAGCTTACTTTTTTTCTTTTTTTTTTGCGTAAAACAAAGTAGTATTGCTTCAATAAAAACTAATATAAAATTTGATCTTTTAATGGTAAGTTTTATTTGTAATGAATCATTATGTTCCACAAATTAGTTCTAATTGTCAGGTTGGAATTTTTTTGCTTAATTAACGTTATTTTTTATAGTTAAATTAAAGTACTCGTATTACCAGGTGGTTTGGGTAATATGAGCACTTTTGATATTATTTAAAACCCCTGCGTTTTTAAGAAAAAATTTCGGGTTCCCAAATATCTAAATGGATCATGAGTAGTGATCCCTAAAAACTCTACGAATAAATTGATAAGAAGGGGGGTTATATCCTTAAAATGGACCAACTTGTTCTTAAATAAAAAAAATTAAAAAGGTCCCAAAAGAATATATATATATATATATTATATATATATATATATATATATATATATATATATATATATATATATATATATATATATATATATATATATATATATATATATATATATATATTATATATATATATATGTATATATATATATATAATATATATGTATATATATATATAATATATATGTATAAAAGATTTGCATAACCGCAAGCATATAGATCAATGCCTTATTATTAATTTTGAAACCAGTATAGGGCACGGTCGTTTACGAGCGATAAGTTTAGGTGCGCATGTGCCAGAAGTTGATAGAAATTTTAGAAATTTTAAAATGGCTGCGGTGCTTAGCTACATAATCTTTTTTATATATCAACTGTTATTTTTAGTTTATTTTTGTAAAAATTAATGTTGGAACCATATTACTGATCTAAATCAATAAATAAATGCCTTTTTTGCATTAGTAAATAAATGAATACGCTAACCAATTATTTTTAAAGTTTTAATTTGTATTTTGGCTAAAACTTTTATTTGTAACATTTAGTGATTTGTTTATTTTTTTAAAATAAATTTTAAAAATTTCTAACTCTACAAATAAAAATAATAAAATTTCTATATTATTATGATTACTATCTTTATACTTTGACCTTCTTTTGGTTGTTGCGAATTAAAATACATTTTTAACGAATTAAAAATGTATTTTAATTCGTTAAACTTGTTCAGAGCTTAGTTTTTTCTTGAATTCTGTTCTGGTCAATTATGTTATAAAATTAGGGATATAAAAATGTAATAAAATTAAAACAAGTCTTATAATATCTTTTACTTGCAGTTGCAAAAAAGAATTTGCATTGCTATAAGAAATATCATAAGAAATATCATATATATATATATATATATATATATATATATATATATATATATATATATATATATATATATATATATATATATATATATATATATATATATATATATATATATATATATATATATATATGTATATACATATATAAACATTATATTATAAATATATATATATTATGTATATATTTTTATGTATATATATATATATAATATATATATATATATATATATATATATATATATTATATATGTATAAATATATACATATATATATATATATATATATATATATATATATATATATATATATATATATATATATATATATATATATATATATATGTATATGTATATATATATATATATATATATATATATATATATATATATATATATATATAGATATAATATAAATATATATATATATCTATATATATATATATATATATATATATTGTATATATATATATATATATATATATATATATATATATATATATATAAATATATATATATATATATATATTATATATTATATGTATATATATACTATATATAATATAATATATATATATATATATATATATATATATATACTACATATAAATATATATATATATATATATAATATACATATAAATATATATATATATATAATATATATATATATATATATATATATATATATATATATATATATATATATATATATATTCTACCTATAGAT